TGCCTCAAAAATTATGCAAATGAGGTCATGATTTGAAAAAAAATGTTTATAGATGTTCACTTCACTTTCAAATGCGGGAACTATAAAATTCTCAGCTTACTACTAAAAAAATTATAGTAATTGCCATTATTTATGCAAATCAGGTCTTTATTCACATAATCTCACTCACTCACTCAAGGCCGCATGCTTCCGAGGGAAGCGTAGCGCCTCGGCATATGGATCTCCAGGTGGTTCTGTCCTGGGCTGCCTCCCACGCAGTGTCGAGGTTGAGGGAGACAGCCAGAAGGTCATCCTTCAGTTGATCGCACCAGGTTCGTCGTGGGCGGCCTCTGGGACGGGACCATGCAGTGGGGGCCGGCTCTCTCAGTAGAGCAGCAGGCTCCAGGAGGGGCACCGCCCTAGCAATATGGCCAAAGAGCCGGAGCCTGGCCAGCCGTATCTTACTGGTCAGGGGAGGCTGTTTGGTGATGTCACGCAGGGTGGCGTTGGGTACTCGATCAAACCACCTGATGCCGAGCAGTCTTCTAAGGCATCTGGTGTCGAAGGCGTTAACACGGAGTTCATGGGTGGCTGTTAACGTCCACGTCTCAGAGTTGTACATGAGGATGGATAGTACCAAGCCTACGTTTTTTGTTTTTTTTTTATTCAGAAACACAATGAGAATTACAAATGAAAAGACATGGACTAAGTGACTGCGAACTCAAGTTAGGTACAACTTATATTCTCGCAGCCACTTTTACAATGAAAGAAAAATATTTTACAAGACAATTAAAAATACATGAGACCTCGCGTGAGTAACAAACCTCCCATCCCAGAAGACACATACAGTTAGAATCTTTTTGTTTCTAATATATAGTTTTGTGCGGCTAACATTATTTTGCAGTTGGTATCATACAAACAAAGGAAACTACCGCGTAGAACTAAATATTGTATGGAATTATCAGAAAGGGTGTTTAAATCAACAATATTACCAAGTATACTTGAAAGCTTGCCAAAAAGGACTAAGCGCTGGTAGGTGTACGGCCAGGATTGCCACGTCATCCGCATAATCCAGGTCTGTGACGGTGGAATCACCAAAGCTGACACCGCAGTTGCACTGCTCCACAGTTCTCCCCATGACGTGGTCTATCGCAACGTTAAAGATGGTTGGGGCTAACACACACAACCCTGTCGGACGCCGCTGTTGATGACGAAGCTGTCAGAGAGCAGACCGTTTACTTTCACGCGGGAGGACGTGTTAGAGTACAGTAGAGAGAGCAGGTGCACTAGCTTGGCAAGGACGCCTAGGGCCTTGAGTAGAAGCCAGAGAGCATTCCTGTCCACCGAGTCGAAAGCCTGTTTCATGTCGACATAGGCTGCATACAGCGGTTTCCTGAATTCCCGTCTTTTCTCGGCAAGTAGGCGGAGAGTGAGAATCCTGTCCACCGTGGAGCGACCAAGAGTGAAAAACCGCTTTGCTCCTTTCTTTGCTTGCTGCGGAGAAGAGGGCGCAGCCTTGTGAGCAGGATGTTAGCGAGCACCTTCCCGGGCACGCTGAGCAGGGTAATCCCTCTATATAGTTGCTGCATACATCTTTATTTACATCATCAGTAATCTATATATTCTAGGATGTTTTTCTCGTTCTCAATTACATGTCACAGGTGTTCATATTCCTATTATTGAACTAGGCAGATTCAAAGAATTTCCTACTTAATCATGCAAATTATCTCCTGATCTGCATAATTTTTATTTAGTTCTGTCAAGCATCACTTCAGCTACCTACCTACCAAAAATCACCATTCACAAAACTACAAGTACCAATCCATCATCTGGTTCTTGAGTTATTCTCCTTCGATTATTTTTCAACAAAGGCTCCTGCAGTTACAGAACAACCGCTAGGGGGTCCAAACTGATGCTATTTCCTCCTTTATTTAATAGCCCAAGAGCTGTCTACAAACTAAAATTCACGACCCTAGCTTGTCCAGATCATGAGATATCAAAACCGGAAGATCTGCTGCAGTACTAAAAAAAGCCACCAGGGGGCCCAAATCTAATCATTTCTAGGACTTATCAAGACCTACCCACCTACCAAGTTTCAAAATAATGCATATAAAGCTCCTTGAGTTATACTGTTTACAGACAGACGGACAAACAGACGCTACGGAAAACATAACCTTCTTTACGAAGGTAATGATGTCACTTTAACTCTATCGCTCCAATTATCATAAAGATGTTTCCCAAAAGCATGTATGCAAAACGAACAAAGAAGTGTTACATGTAAGTGCATAATTAAATGCATAAGAATGAATTATTGGTTTTACAAATGGCACGTAGATTTTTAGTGCTGAATAAAACATTTGTGCGGGACGAAAATGAGTGTTGTTGTTTTTTGTTGAAATGCTTTATATCCCAAGATATCATTAGTTTCAGAAGCCACAGCTACCCCAGCAGAGCGTAATCTGCAGTACCTATCCTAGCCGCTGCTCAAAAAAAAAAATTTCAGAAGGACCGTCAAACTGAAAAACAACGTTGGTCTTTTCGGTTAGATAAGAAGTATTGCTACGATAAGTGAGGTGTGTAATTTATTACTTAGGACTCGAGAAAAAGTCTCATAAGCAATCAAATTTTAGGGTTGTCTGGCTGAAGGGGTTGAAAAGAGTAGAAATTTGGCCAAACAAACAGATAACAATGTAGGGGAGTTGGTCTGCTCCTAGCCGCGGCGACTGTTGCAGGGCCTCTCTTGTGTTAGGGCTAATGTAAAAGACTGCAAGCAAGAGAAGCCCTGCAACAGTCGCCGCGGCTAGAATGCTCCTTGAACTGCACTCACCTAGCGGCACAGACTTCCCTGTTATGATATCTGCCTACATGTATTTGTCCCATTTTAATATTTCCAGCATCGTTGTATGTAGTATCGCAATTTAGATATACTACTTGACTTAACACATTATCTCAGAAATGTCACGTTCTGTAGAACAAATGTCGGGCCACCATTAAAAAGTCACCCGACCAGTTCGTCGCCCGCGGCGGTGTGGTCTCATTGAACTATCGATAGCGACAGAGGCGAGTTTTGTTCCCACCAACACCAGATTTGTGACGCCAGCCGCCGTGCCAATATCATGTGTACACACTACAACAACACAGACAGACAGGTGAGACAAATTTCTTTCTTCACTACATAGTCTGAATCTCACCTGTGCGCTCGACGTTTCAGGGTCTTATGCCTGTTTCTTGTCGTAGTTTTGTCTTGTTCTTGGGTGGCAAAATGTGAACGCCATTTTCTTCGGTTAAATTGTGCTTGTGTCATTGGATCATGTCTTTCGCGGTTTGTGTTCTGTCGCTTGGTCTAAAGGTTCTTGACAACAGGCAGTGTTTTGGGGTTGAAGCATTTAGTCTATAATAATTGGGCATATCCATATAAAGGACACACTGGCCATGATATAGCTCAAATACCTGTCTGTCGTCTGCATGCAGCGATTGTCGTTAACCTTTGACATATTCAATTAGATTAAAACATTCCTACGTGTGGTCAACAATGACTTTCTTTTTAGTCAAAGATTTTGTATATATTAACTTCTAACTACAACATATTAGTCGTGAGAGCAAGATCTTTGACCCGAAAGAACCAGTTTCGAGAAAACTCGACTACATGTATACGCAAAACAATTAATTGTAAATAGAAAACCTAGAAAAAACACGTCAATATTGCAAAGTATACAAATTCTCCAGTACACGTTTGGTCCCAAAAGCTTTTCATTGTAAGGTGTAGCGACAACCACAACAACAACAACAACAACTACTACTACTACTACTACTACTACTACTAAAAATACTACTGCTGCTGCTATCATCACTACTTCTACTACTAACTAGTTACTACATGTAAAGACCACTTTAGCATTATTTTCTTTACGGTGAAACAATTCTTTCAAATTACAGGTATCAAAGCGGAAAGACAGTTGGAGACTTTGAGCAATCCAAAGCGCACCTCTCAGAATCTACTTTGGAAGCAGAAAGTGTGTCGTGGTGAATCGTAGGCCACTCTGCCAATCAAGTCATTAACATAATTAAAAAAAGGACAAGTCATTGTTACTATATGGTAAAAATGCTTTCTTATTGGTCAAGCTCAAAATTCCTATTTCTGCCAATTTTGATTCTGAGCACTGGAGCCGCACTGGCTAGCTATAGGGAAAGGGGTACGTGAATTTTTTTTTGTGTGTGTGTCTTTCTGTCTGTGTGTGTTTTTCCACAACTTTCTTGTCGGGCGAGCGCTCCCACACCAAGGAAACCCAACGTAATTGCACCATAAACCACAGAACCTAAAATAAAAAGAAACCTCTGATAAAGAGCGTGCCGCTCCTTGTACGCCTTCAAACTGTAGGAGTGTAGGACTCGTCTGGGAATACACGTAAGCCGGGCCGACGACTAACGCTGCAGAACGTGGGAGGGCACGCCCGGTACTAGCACGCCGCTTTGTCACTCTGTCGTTGCGGAGACTTTCAATCACCGGTGGTCAGCCATTGGGGGTTAAAATCATCTTTATTCCATACAAGATGAATGACATATTAAATACATAGCTAAAAACCTAGGACAATCCTTTGTCTCATGTTTAGGTAACAAGAGGAGGACGCAAGGTGGACAGACAAAAATACAATATACTAGTCACTGTGTGCATCGGACATACAGACGTTCTCTGTTAAAAATTGCCATATATAATTATGATTACGGGTACATTATATAACAATTACAATTTAGAGTTCTTAAAAAAGACAGCAGCTAAATTTTACATCTAATTATTTACAGTAGAACAATCCTGAAGTGCATTCCCAAGCAGGCGTGTTTCTGGCACAATAGATTGCATAAGATGCACAAAGTGCACACTTTCCCAGTCTACTTTTAAGATGTCTGACTTCACGGTCTTTGTGACTGACCGGACAGAGTGACTTCAGCTTTGCAATGTTCTCGCCGTTAATCCACCCTCTGCTTCCTACTTCGACTGTAACAAGAGTAGCCCTGTATCCACTATGAAAGTTAATGTCATTAACCAGACTTTCGTACTTCGCCGATTTTCTATCCTCGGCGTCCTGTGCATTCTGATCAAACGGGACGGTAAGTTCAATCAGGGTCAGCGTTCGTTTGACAGGATCCTGGACTGTGATGTCAGGTACCAGCGGTGTCGGTAGGATGTCTGGGGGAATTGTGCTTTTACATTTCTGGGGTTTTAATGTCAGATGGATGCTTTTGAGATTCCGATCCAGCGTGTTGAGGATCCGTTGCATGGATCTTGATCTGCATATGGTTAGAGCCAGATCGTCAGCAAATGCAAATGTGACGTGAGTTTTATTCTTCATCACATACCCATGAGCTTCTTCAGTGCGCAGGTACTCCAGGGGCAGGTTAATAACAGGTAAGAAGATCGCAACTGACAGGGTGTCACCTTGGAATGTACCCACCTTCAACTGGAACAGGTCTGATGAGAAGCCTGGACATCTCACCTGGGCGGTGAGGTTACTGTAAAATACCTTGACGTAATCGCAGATTTGTTGTGGTATTTGGTATCGCTGTAATGCCAGCTGGATGAGATCATGGGGAACGGACCCAAAGGCATTTTGTAGATCGAGCCATGCAACATGTACGGTTTTTGATGATGTTCTTGCATTTCTGATGAGCTCATTTAACACAAAGGAATGTTCAGCACAACCCGACACGCCCGTCAGGAACCCCTTCTGTACCTCGCTATCAACAAAGCCGTTTTTAACAAGGAAGTCAATGATACGGCCCCCTATGATAGAATGAAACAGCTTGATTTATAGTGTTAAAAATTACTTCATGCAGCATTTAACCAATAATTGAGCAATGTAGCCTTTTTTAACACCTCGATGTCTTAAGTGTGCATAGGTCATGAATGCTTATCATTTAGTAGATGTAATATTTTTAAATTTACCGTTTTGTGTTCAACATGTGGTCTAAAGTACCTTGCAGAATTATGACAGTTGGCAGTACATGTAGACTGTTATTCGAAATGACAAAAACAAGAACAAGTTGCAAAAATTTTCTCACTTATCGGAACGGAGCATAGGAATGTAGACTATTAATGTGTTTATAGATCAGCAAACTAAATGTGTGAATGAATTGAACCAACTTTTGTGAATGAATTGAACAAACCTTTTTTGTCTCTAATATGCATTTGTCTAACTGCATGTATCCCCGCTACTCTGTGCACTAAAGTTGACACTACCCTACCTTACTCTCTTCTGATACCCTTATGTCGATGTTAGAATCTTTTGGTTCTTTCTCTTTGAATACGAGACGACAAACGTGAATTGGCATACACGCGTATCCTTGCAAACTAATGTATAGCATACACGCCTATCTTTGCAAACTTTATATACATGTAGCAGACGCGCCTATCCTTGGTATAACATACGTTCCTATATAACCTTACAAACGTCTTGTAGCATACGCGCCTTTCCTTGCAAACGTTTAAATTTCTTTGTCTTTTTTTAGACGGCTGGGATAGCTTAGCGGAAGCTGAGAAGGAACAGTCCCGCCGACTTGCCACGCTTAAGGAATTCTGTAAGAAGAATGTCTCAATGGTACGTAACAATGATTAACATAGTACAAACGTTTCGGTTTAATGTTTCCTTCTGCTACTTCTCTATGGGAATACCGAGGTTTTATACATAACTTTGCAGCTATGTATCCATACAGCGACATCTAGCTGTAGTAGGTAGTAGAATATTTTAGAATAATTTGCTCCGAGGAATTAGGTAGCAGGCCAGCGCTATCTCGGATAGCACCTGATACTTGTAATATTTATTTCCGCTTGAATGTAAGTTCCTTTCTTATGTTTTTCTTCTCAGGTTGATCCATCGAAAAACAGACTACTTACAGGCCATCTATACTTTTATGATAATATCAAAACAGTCTACTGCTATATCCCTAAAGTCGGGTGCAAAACAATGAAACTCCTATTCTACAATCTAGAGCACAATGAAACCTTACGTTTAAACACTGATGGTACTGCTGAACTGCGACCAAAGATAGATAACTTTACGGATCCTAAGTTACGCAAGTCTGGTTATATACACAGCCGAGGTTTCAAAACTTTTAATAACTACAGCAAGGAAGAAGTAAGCCTGCGCCTTGCAACCTACAGGAAGATCATCGTTGTTCGCGACCCTTTGGAGAGGTGAGGTTTATTTTCCTTAAACTACTACTATTGTATAATTATAAAATTGAAGTAGTATCTCGTGAAAAGTTTTGGTTTTCATTTTACTTTGGGTAGACACAAGTCTCATGGACCTACGGTCAATGACTTTACTGCTATGACTATCAAATTAAATGCAGTTTAACGAGTCAAGTGCACTGCGTCGGTTTTTTTACTGTTAATTTTAACAATTATCACAAGGCATGGTAGCGGCACACTCAAGTGTTTAAAACGTATTTCCATGCCACCACCAACTCGTGAACATAAGTAGACATTCCCTTTTCCACCTAAGTTATTGTGCCATTCTAAAGGGCACAAGATCGGTGGCATGACAGGATGCATGCAAAGTCCGCTCTGTCGTTACGCGTACGCCACACGACCTCAAGTTTATTCTATAGCACATACTTAGGCTCTTCAATTCATCAAATAACACCTTATATCCAAAACGCTTTGGAACTTCTCTGAATTCAACTAGCTCCATTGTCACCTCAGGTTGGCATCTGCGTGGCTTGGCAAATTCGTCAACATGCCAGCACGCGGCTCTTTGAGGTGGGTCCGTGCTTTAAATATACGCCTGAGAAAATATCGAGATCGTAACCGACCAAACAAGGTACGGCACATTTCCAGTTTTAATATATACTTCATCACCATCATTATCATAATACATTACACACTTACTTACATGTATATTTGAGTACATATATAAAACGAGCCAGATCACACGGACCTGCAGGGTTCACATTTTCATTGTTAATTCCCGTGATCAGAAAAAAAAAGAGAGAAAATGTGAAGCTTGAAGGCATGTATGTGTTTGTAGAAGCAGGATTTTACAATTTTACAGGAATTTCCCCATATCTTTTTAAAATTCATTTTGGTTTAAATTTGAACTTTTCAGGTATTTCTAATTTAAGCTTTTTGATGACGGCATTGGACAAAATTAAAGTACATATCATTTGCTCAGATGTAACCAATGTTTTTCTAAACTTTTTAATCACAATTTATATTTTTTCACAGGTCAACATTAATCTTATTAGACCTTAATACTCTGGACGTATTTCTTAAAAGTAAGGTTGTATTCCTATGCAATTTACGGTAAACCCCATTGTGTCAAATTTAGGCCCCAAAATTTTAATGGCGTTATAATGTAAGATACTACGTCATATTGTAACGATTTAATTTCACTACTTAACCATCCTCTAAAAATTTAGAGGTCCTACGGCAAGTAGCTGATGAAAAAGCCTGGTCTGAATAGCGTTAACCCTATCTGGACTGGCATTTTGGGGCAGAAGGGGCTCATTCGCCTCCCCCCTCCCCCACACACACACATAGCTCGTGAAAAGTATAACATATGGTCACCAAATTTTCAAAGGGATTGTGTACTAGTAGTAGTAAATCAAGTCACCAAGTTTGGTGGTTTTAGCGCAACCTGACATCAATTAGGCGCCCCCCCCCCTCCCCACAGTCTAGATTGGGTTTAGGGATAGTTATGACACTCTGGTGTATCTGGCTTCTTTAATTCCTCTCCTAAAGGTAAATAGTATTATATCTATTTTAGTCGAGCAATGTAAAGGAAGAAGGGACATTCAACATTACAAAACTAGTACCTTTCCGAGATTTCCTCTTCAGCGTATCGAAGTGGCTAATGGACAATGAGCACTGGACATCATTCAGCAGACTATGCCTACCATGCCAGGTACTTTGTTTAACACCCTCCGTTCGCTATTTACTTACTCAGCCACTCGCTAATTCATCACTTAATCGCACGCTGACTCGCCCCCTTGCTTGCAACAACTCAATCGTCGCATAATTTTAAATAAAGTTAATAAGGAAAGCCCAGAAAAGCTTACCTTGTACCTTTGAGTTCTAATTCTGATTTCTTCTGTAGATTGAATACGACCTTATAGCACACATGGACACGGTTGCGTCAGATGTTCGACTTTTTGTAAAGAAGTACAACATCACAGCGAATGAAGAGGTTCTGCCGGAACAACGACGGAGGCACGTTAATGATGACAACGTTTTCAACAAAATCTACGCGCAAGTCCCGATAGAAGAAATCCTGCCTCTCCGAGAGATCTTCCAAGAGGACTTTGATATGTTCGGATACTCCTTTGAACAGGATTTGATAAAGATACTACAAGGAAAGTCCACGGGGTAGTCTAGCAAACTTTCTTGTTTCTGAAAAAAGTCAACTTTAGCTGGGTGAAGGCGGCCGCACTATGAAGAAGGTACCGTTACAGTACCAGTCATTGGCAGAGACCAGGTGCCTTGTCACACTGACCCACACATCCGCACTAAGCTAGGTATGATGGGTGACATACGCTATCGTTAGCTTAAAACAAGACGGGGTTCGCCACGCCTACGTCCGGGTGAAGATGTGTCACAAAGTCTTACAACGTCATAATCCCAGAAGGACTAAAGCAAAATGTTTCCCAATGTTCAAGCATTCATGGGGCGTTCGGGAGGATCGATCATAGTTGACTGTTTTTGACTGTAAGTAAGCAAAACACCTATCATCCATCCAGGAGTAAGTCAGCAGTTTTGAGGTGTGTTCAGATATCAAATTTAACACCAATCTAACTCAAATTCGTTTTGAGTGATACACCAAAGAAAGGTAGGCGAGGCCTAGGTCTAGTCAGTCCTCCCGAACACCAGCCAACCTGTTCAGCTCCAATTCGTGAGAAGTTCGTGAATGTGTGACAGAGACTTAAAGCACTGTTCCAAAGAGACTAATGGAATTCAAACTAGGCAAAAATCCAACTTCACAAAACGGTGGGCACTGTTGGCCTCAAATTGTATCTTACCAGTGTCACTTTTCTTAATGAAAATTTCTGTAGCAATGTCAGCAAACTGGGTATAGTTTGGTGTATAGTGACATGGTTTTAGTAGTTCATGTAAATCATGTGCATGTTTTGAGTTGCGTTATTAATTTCCGTTAATGAGATATTTGGTAATATATAACCTATGGTACAGTTGATTTCTGTCAGTTTGATTGCTTATGTATTTTTCAGTTCAGTTTATGTTAGTCGTCTGTTTTTTTTTCTATGCTTTAACCAAATCCTCAGCTTAGCAGCTGTACTGAAATAACGTTTGCTATACAGGTCGCTGACGGGAAGTGCTGAGGTAGGCGTTGACTTTACGTTTGACAATGTCCTGTGGAAGACAGTTCCACTGTTTGAATGTAGCAGGGATGAATGTTCTTCTGTGGCAGGAGGATGACGACTTGACAGGTTCAAAGGCCACACTGTGTTGGGATGTAGATAGGCGAGTTTCTCGGCGATGTACATAGGGCACGGGTAGTAGGCTGGTCAGTAGTGTAGTTGCATTTTGATGGTACATCCTGTGTAAGAGTGAAAGGGCCCCAACGTTCCTCCGCTGTTCTAATGGCTGGATTTGGATTTTATCTGGTGAGTCTTGAGGTAAGTTTATGATTTTGATTGCCCTTTTTTATGGCGTCTAGCGCGCTAAATAAGGGACGTAGCACTTACTCCCATCCACACGGTTGAGGCATACTCCATAGAAGACCGAACCATACTTTTGTAGATAGTGTCTGTCTGGGGCACAGGAATGGAGAGACTCTTCTTAGCAGCCCGAGTCGTCTTCCAGCATCAGTTGACATTTTGTCAATATGGTGGAACCAGGTCAGGTTTCGTATAATTGTAAGACCTAGCAGGTCGACTTCTTCCACTTCAGAGAGGATAGTGTCCATGAAACTGAGGTCAGGGTGGTTTCCATGTGCGTCTTTCAAGTTACTAACCGTCATGCTTTGCATTTCGTGGCCCCAAAGAGTACATTCCAATCTTCTGCCCATGTCTGGATTTCCTGAAGGTCTTTGTTGAGTGACTGGGCAGCTAAGGTTCTTTCTTGTCTTTTCCTGATGATTTTCACAAGAGATGTGTCATCAGCGTATAGCATGGCAGTGTTTTTTTTAGCTTTTCGGTCATGTCGTCTTTGAAGATGAGAAACAGGAGAGGACCAAGTATCGAGCCCCGCGGGACTCCGGCATTGATGACTTTGGAGGTGGAGGATTTTCCGCTAATGAGTACTTTTAGTTCTCTGTTTGATAGGTAGTCCTCGATCCATTTTAGTAAGCTAGGTCATCGAATCTAGGCTTGACGCCTCAATATTAGACAATAGCCCTGACATCAACATCGATGGGTATTTAATCGAGCGAAAGGATGGCAACACAGGAAAGGACTGGGGTGGATGTCTGATCTATTATAAAACTGGCATTGGTCTGCATAGAAGGCAAGACTTGGAACCTCCCGAACACGAAATGATGATATGCACCATCAAGTTACAGACAGGTATCTTACTGATCTCATTATTGTACAGACCACCGGGTAAGAGGGCCATAGACTGTGCACCCATCGACTGGTACACTGAAAATTTAGACCATCTCCGCACAAAAACTAAAGCTACAGGGACAATACTGGTTGGGGACTACAACGCCCACCACAAGGAATGGTTAATTAGCAGAAAAACCGACCCTCCTGGTAGGCACACACTCACCCTCTGTACTACCCATGGCCTAGCGCAACTTGTCGGCGGTGCCACCCACCACAAATGTAACAGGCTCGACCTTATCATGACTGATGCACCTAACATCTGTTCGGACGTACAAATAATTTGCATGATTAAAGAGAAAATGTTAGAATTCCATAATGTTAACTGCCTGGAATTCCATACTTATTTTAAAGTTAAGCTTAAGTGAAGGTGAACATATCTTTTCAAATAAGGACCTCATTTGCATAATCTATGAGGAAATGAAAGAATGGCTTTCTTTGTTAAATAAGGCTGTCTTTTGGTGGAGAATATGATCAACTGATATAATTCATGCAAATGAGGATCTATTTGCATAATCAGGAAGAATAATTTTTACTTTGCCAGTCATAAAGATTAACATCATTTGGCGAAGGTATGGGATCGTTGAACTCTATTTTCTTTCTCCATTTGTGGTCAACTATTACAATGAATGACCATACATAATCAAATTGCGTCTAATTTACATATCATTATTGTTGGAGATGTTAACACTGTTTTGAATTCTAAAATTGACATCTCGCCATAACGATCGCTTTTTCTCGTGCTCATAAGCAAAATTAAGCGAATAGCCTAAGCCGACCGCCTCTCCAACGACTGTGACCGACACAATTCAGGACCGGACATGGCCGAATATCTGTCTATGACGACCACATTAGTTTTCAAGCGTCTGACCGAAAACGTTTTTTTTTTAACTGGAAACTCAGGATTCTCAAAAACACGAGCTCTTCTTGTTTAATCATTTATTTACGACAGACTAGCTTGGTCATAAAAAAAAACTTCGGTGTGAACTCTCACCTGTTACCCGCAGTCAATACCACCTTCTTCGTTACTCATTAACTAAAAAAGCGGAACTTGTCGAGTCGACGCCATTTTGAAGCAGACGTATCTGACTGTAAGCCGAGCTCGCCATGTTTTCCTTCGGGTAGAGACAGCAACAAGATCAAGTACAGGTGAGTTTTACTGTGTTTGTTCTCAGAGATACGTGAGATGTTTTGTGATAGTTTTCGACCTCCTGGTCTGTGCAACATTCGTAAGAAAAACACATTAACATTGTATACCGTTATCAGCCAATTGTAATCAATTCAAAAGTTAACATCTAAGTAGTAATAGTGTCTGTTCCTGAAGAGTTGTAAATAGTGGCTGTATAGTCAGTGCGTTGGTCATAAGTAAGGCCTGTTTTGATTCAATTCAGCTTAGTCCTAACAGACTATCGACTTACATCCGTAAATAATTTCATCAGGTTGATAAACGACTGAATAGCAAAGTTCTTTTTATCACAACCATTTATTTTTTACGAGCCGACGTTTCGATGACCGTCTGTCATCTTCATCAGGGCAATTCTGACTGGTTTATTGTTCTTTATTGTTTGTAACTGTTATGATTCCTAACAATACATATGTAACAAGAATTCTGAGACATCATACCTCCATGAAATATATGAGTTTTTGTAAATGTTTTTTGTCTCATTGACTATGGAAATAAGGTCGTAATTAGCACAATCTAGTTCTAATTCATGGTTTTCTAAATTCAAATTACAATATTTGCGTTTTCAAAATCATATCCAGTTGCTTGCGTAACTGTTTTTTGGCGTATCAAATTACAATATTTTAATGTAAAATTCCTCTCCTTTGTCATACTTTATTTCAACACGTCCTCATTAATTATGGAAATGACCTCAACATTAACATGATATAGGCATAGTGATGTTAACCTTTAAGTCACTTACACATGTCACAAGGTATAAAATTCCCATCATTCACCAATAGGAAGGCACAGAATTTTTCTATTAATTATGCAAATTATATATTGCATAATTGGTATTTTGTGATATTCCATCTGCCATAAATTACATACATTACACGTATGAAAGTACTATTATTTAAAACACTGTAATTATAGAATTTTCTCATTAATCACACAAATTAAGCCCTCATTTGCATAATTTGCATTTAACTATGTACAACTCTCTCTCAGCTACCTACACACTAAAAATGATGAAAATATGTTGTTCCTATCTGGACTTATTGGCTTTTAAAGATTTCGCCCGAAGGTCCCCTGCAGTTCCAGAACAAGCTGCTAGGGGGACCAAACTTACACCGCTTATTCCTGACAGAATAAGCTATCTGTCACCAAAAATCAAGACCATAGCATGTTCAGGACAAAAGATTAAAAAACCGGAAGTTCTGCTGCAGTACCAAGGTCGGCCAGCAGGAGGCTCATATTTGACCTTGACCTTTGTCTTTCTAAGACCTACCAAGGTACCAAACATCATCACAATCCATAAAGGCCTTCTGAAGTTATTGTGCGGAAACACAGACACACACATACATACACACACACACACACACAGACGCGCCAAAAACAATACCTCCATTTTTCATGGAGGTAACAAGACTTTTAATAATTTCGATTTTGGAACTGTGATAGCTCAGTATTGTCAGTTAACAAATCTTATATTATATATATAGAAACACTTTACATTTGAAATCGCATATTTCCCTATGATGTAACAATGCCTAGTATGTATGTCACAATTACACTACGTTCCTGAATGTATTGTAAACAGAAAAAACTAGCTTAAGTACACTATGAACTATGTAACACCTTTAGTGCACT